TGATCTAGACCCCACGGCCCCAATCACTTCCAACATACCTCCACGAGGAGGCTCAAAGAGAGCCCCAACATTGGGCGAAACGCGCCAAGATGGAGAAGGATATGCCCCAGGAATGCCTGAAGATCGCCGAAGATTTGCACAAACCTGCCCAAATTTGACCACCAACTGGAGCAAGCTTTCATAAGCAATAAAGCTATCACAAACACCTTTCTTGCACTTGTCCAAACCTTTGCGATGCTGGTTATGTTCCCTGCAAAAGCTGCAGTATTGACATCATGGGTGTGCTCGTCAGGAGCAAGCTTTCATACGCAAACAAATGATAAAAAGAAGCTCTCAAAAACACCTTCCTTACACTTGTGGGACCTCATGTTTCATGGTTTTTACAGTGCTTTATGCACATTGCACTTCAAAGCCTTCGAAGGCGAGATAACAAGATAAACCTCAAAAATTGCCTCCCGTGCAGGTAAAATGCAACTTTTTGAAGGTAAATAAGCTCAACACAAACCCATCCAAAGCCACTGTTTACTGTAAATTACAGTGTTTTATGGACCTTCGAACATGCCAAAAAAAGCCCGCACCCCCCACCCCCCCTTCCCTTTCGGTAATACTTCCAAGCGCTACAGCGCTTTCCGTCATCACCTTGCTCCACCCCTACTATCATCCGTCCTTGACCCCACATCAATGGGTCTACCGCAGGATCTATGATCCAAGGGGGGCCCAGACCTCTTTGAGGGCTGTGAAGTGACATGATTTCGACCTGTCCATGAATTGGGAATACCAAAGGACCTCAGTTGCGATGGCAAGGCTGGTGCCACATCCCAGGTGACAAGGCTGATCCTCCCAAGGCCTTCCGTCGATTCCCAAGCTTCGTGCCACTGGTTACCGGGGCACGTGGCAGTCTTTGCTAAGCAATAGCCTGATGCACGGCGAGAGCAGTCTTGCGTGAGCCATGCAGGGAATGGGTGGAGAGATGCCAATGGTGCCAATGCTATATATGTACTTATTGAAGGAAGTGCTATCTTGATGTTTGTCATGTGGCGAAGGGGGCAGTAGTTAGTTTCGTTGAGGACATGCACCGTGTTTTCGAGAGCACGTTGCCTGCCATCATGGCCTGTGAAACAAGAGCTTGTACTTCAATGACATCGTTGATGTGGGGTAGATGTTTAAGCGACCGCCATAGCCCCAAACAAAAATACCTCCAGGTCCCCAGTCCTTTACCCTAACTAATCTTTGCCAAATGCGTGACTAGGGAGATATCATTCACATCATCCTGCAAATGATAGACCGTTTCCTGCATCATAGCGTGTCAAATACACCCCTGGCCAATCTATTGGGTAGTTACCTTGGACTGAAGATCGTCAAGATGTCCGGTCTGGCCATCACCAATCATGGGCAGGAACCCAATCACCAAAGAACCCTGAACGACTCTGTGTGTGTGTGTATGTTCGACTCTAGGTTGGGTCTCCTTGACTGCTTTCACTCCAAATTTTGGCCAGCAAAAGGCTACCCTCTCAGGTCTATAGACATGCACTTGTGCAAATGAAATCGAAGAATGATTTGACGGATTGTCTCAAACTGCAGGTGGTATCCGCCCAAGTGGCTCCGCAGCGCTCCATGAGACACCACACAGCCCTTCGGACGTCCGGTCGACCTGCGCAGAACTCGGTCGACCTTCGTAGGTGACTCATGGTTTGGGGGCCTCAACGTGACCGGCAAATCCGGATCTGTGTGAAAAAGCCAGGCATCCAACTGTCCATTTGATTCTGAGAGACAGCTTGACTCAGATTGACAGGATCAACACCGTCTAGTCGTCTAGTAGTCTTCTGTCTCATCCCAGTGCGGGCCCCGAGGTGAAGAAGATGTGTGAGATGGCAGCGCCAGGCACCTGCACAAACATGTTGGCATCAAGATATGCCAAGTGGTCACAAATATGAAGAAAAAACAAAAAAATACAGTAAGTATGCGGATAAAACCAGGGCACTGAGGAAAACACGGTGAGAGGGGTTCGTGCAAAAAACCTTTCTACCGGAGTCCACCACCAGGGTGCACGATAAGCAAACACTTGCTTGCAAAACCGTTGCGGCCACAGGAGCTTCGGATGCAAAATGCCTGTTCACCCACCGCGAGAGCATCCACGAGTGTCAAAGTACCCTCATCCTTGTCAACTTGTTCAACCCCAGCGTGTATTTATTCTATCATCAGATAAGATCAAACGGGGTATTCATCTAGTGCGCCAAAGGTCCCAAGTTCCTCTGAGTCTGGATGGTAATGGATGTGTCATATCGATCTATTCGATAGTGCATTCGTATGCTGCTTCAAAGACTCTGCTTGCTTGCAGCTTGCGTCACAAGAAATGCGTTGAGCAAATCTCACTTCTCGCAGGCGCCAGGCGCAGTTGACGCAGCATTGTTTTCCAATCTGAGGAAGGCCAGGCAATCAAAGCACCTGCAAAGCAAGTGAAGGAAGGACTGAGGATGTTGTGTGTGCTCCCTAATTTGACTCCATCTAGTGAGACATTCTGCCAGGAAGATATTCTCAGAATGCCCTTCTCGTACTGCTCTCTTTAGAATATTTTAGAATCTAGAGTAACCTGTTGCGTTGCTCGTGTCCCTGGTTGGACACATTAGCGTGGTTGATCCCACCAAGAAAGTAAAGCTTCAGCCAACGCATGGAATATGGACTAGATGAACGACTGACAGTTCTTCTATATACACAATTTGGACCCGTTGGGCAATGAGCATGTCTTGCGGTAGCTTTCAGCTGGCTATATAAATCCTTCTATTCAGTTTTCAGAAGGGACCATTCGTCCACTTGAAGTTTCACTTGGAACAATTACGCCGAACGGCCTGGGAACTCGCCCGGGTTCCCCGTGTTTCCAGCGTTGGAGGGTGGCGCCAGGAGCCTCCACGGCCGGGATCTGCCGGAACTTCTCCTAGCCAGGCCATAAATACATAGACACACACCAAAAAAAAGACTTACACAGACCAAAAATGTAAAAAGGAAATGACTACTAGTTGCCTACTCATGCACTTGACATTGCCTGACTGTTCTTTTGTGGGGCATCAATTACTTACCCACCACTTGTCTTTTTTTCATGATACAAACCCTTGTTTGCCTTGTCTGCGGCGTTCATCCTGAAAGTGAACGTCACATTCTTCAAGTCCAGTGGATCGAACGTCACGAGTAACAAAGGGCATTGCTAGCAAGGTTCGCTACTAGGGGCTCCTGGCATCGCTACTAGTAGCAAGGACGCTACTAGGGGCTCCTGGCCTTGCTACTAGGAACAAGAAGCTACTATAGGGGCTCCTGGCATCGCTACTAGGAGCAAGGACGCTACTAGGGGCTCCTGGCCTTACTACTAGGAACAAGAAGCTACGAGTAACAAAGGGCATTGCTAGTAGCAAGAAGCTAGTTAGCAAAAATGACCCTCCGGATGAAGGATACAAAGTTGTATCAGTTGTATCTCAAAGTTCTGCAGTGGACCATTGCTATTAGTTGGAGGCCGTCGCTTGCTAGGTTGGTCTAAATCAATAGCAAGTCGTGTAGGGGATCATTGCTCTATGAGTCTTCTTTGAAGCGTTTGAGGCTTCCAGTTGCCAAGCTTCTATAACTTGCTGGGCAGCAAATTCGCTTAGTCCCACTGCCGGATCGGTAGACACCAAACGGCCCTCAGGCGTGGAAGTGAGCGGTGTGAGATGCCACATCGAGAGACGGCTCATGCAAGCAGGAACCCCGAACGGTTCAGAAGCTCACTCCAATAAAGACATACAACACTGTAAGTCTTCTTACAGGCTTTCCTGCTCAATCTGAACTTGCACGGGGCACATGTCCATACATACATGACTTCTATAGAGGCAACTGCCTTTCGAAACAGGAACATGTTCGCCAAAACAAGTCACTCTCTGTTTGATGTAGAAACTTCAGCGTAGTTCATAGAAACATCTCTGTAGTTGGGAGCCTGTCCAACCTGTCACAGGAACCAACTTGTCACAGAAAATTCTGGGGATCACGGTAGGTCCGGCCCACTTAACGTTGAATGAATTCTTCACAAAGAAATGAATGGCCCCTTACACTTCTGCTGAGCATGGCTTTCTGGTCGGCTTTCTAAAGGGTAGCGACTCCGAAAATCTTCGTTAGAAAGGAGGCTGAGTGTCTTGTAGAACATCTCCACACAGGAGCTGATCGTCATCAAGGACCACAAAGGCTTCGACATTTTTCGCATTCACCTGACACACTTGGATCACAAGGCGGATCAATTGTCAAGGTCAAAATTCGTCAGGATGGGGATGCAGTGGCCCACGAAAACTGCTCGAGCTTAGCTTAGAGGAACTAGTTTTTCTTGGTCAAGTTTCAATGTTCACATCAACAATATGAGTGAACATAACCAAAGTGCATGAAATGCAACATGTGTTGATAAGCATTATCAGCATCATCAACCTTGTCAACATGTGTTTGAATTTTGAATCGGTTGGCTCATGCAGAGTATTATGTTAAAGAATTAGTCAAACTGTTGCTCGTGGCCATCCCCAGCCTCCAACCATGTACAAATCTCATCCAATCTCGATCTGCTTTCTGATGTTGGTGTGGTGCCATGGATAACGACCTGCCACTCTGCCAAAAAACCCTGCATATAGCCATACATGTACTTGCACATGAAGATTGAAACACGTCTGGCGGAATAGGGATTCATCTTTGAACCAACACAACGTGCTATGCCCACTCACGGTGAAAGGGAACGAATCAAGAAATCAACATGTTTTGTTGGATGATGTAATCTGTGGCAATCGGGTGTGAAACCAAATTGGTTGTGGCATGTCAACCAAATGTGTTGAGCCTTCATGCAGCAACCTCAAATATGCAGAGCAGCTGATACTCTGGCCTGGTACGAAGCCAGCTGTTGCAATGCCTCCATAAAGAGAGCCTGAAGGCTGGAGGATCGCATGAAATTGAAATGCTACCTTCCTCAGTTGTCCATCTCACTGTTGGCGAATTCAAGTTGAGTAGGGATCTAGTCCCCTAGTTAGGTGCAGCTCCAACAGTTTTGTGTCCATTCAAAAAGGTTCGGAATCTGGACGGATTTCTTCAAAACATCCTCCTGAACTCTCAAAACATCCTATTGTAGCGAATCACAATTACCCCCTCAAATCCCTTCAACACCTCATTTCGCTTGGAAAAGCGTTCCTAGTTCCTACCTCATCATTTCGCCACGAAGATGCAAGAACCTCAGACAGGTGAGTGGAAGTGGAGGCTAGATGTCAAAACCGTTCCAGTGCTTTGTCACCAAGATGTCTACGCAAAATATCATGATCTTCCATGCCAAAACCAGTTGCTATCTGCAACCCCAAGTGAACAAAACGAATCAAAACGGCATCTGCATAGTGGTTTTCGGGGCACACTTGCATGCCTCACGTACACGTCAAGAATTCCTTGCTACCGTGAAACAACTCGTAGCTTTGGCACTTCTCGCACCAGAAGACCCAGGCGTTCAAGGCAATCCTGCGGTCGGCAGATCGGTGCTGTTCCTTTGGACCACCAAACAAATTGGTTGGACCTCCTCCAGATGTAAAGTTGAAAAATGATGCAGGTGGCCATCACCCTTTCGAATTCCTGCACGAACAGGTGTATGGACAACACCTCGGATGAAGAAAATATTCGTACCTGAAAAAGAAGCAACTGCTAGTCTATGAAAGAGGTCAAAGCTGTACAGTGTTGGGTTCTGGGTGATGTCACTCTGTGATCATACTGGGCGTCTTTCATTGTCGCCAAGCAGTATGAAAAGTTCCAGAACTCACTTGGGGTGACACCACTGGAACATTTTTCGGGTCCTTCAGAAAGACTTCTCCGTGTGGCTTGGCCGGATGAAGCACGCCATCAATGTCTAGGAACAGGACATTGCACATCTGTGCATTGGTTGGACCCAGTTAAACAGAGGAGAAAACAATCAAGAGAAACTGCTCTCGCCTTTCAATACTTGAGGGTTTCATACCTAGCAATATAGAGTTTTATGAGTATATCATTGCTCTGCTACAAAAAAAAGATACGCACAAAGAGAGGAGTAGCTCTTGATTGCATCAAAAGCGATGGCGTTGATCAAAAAAGGCATTGAACATTGCACCATGAATGCCTTGATACGAGCCACCAAATGGCTACTGTAGTAGTAGAATCCAGAACATCAGGAAAATGAGGACCTCGAACCTGCAAGTGACGGCCATCTTTGCAAACCTTTATATACCAGGATGGGCACATCAATCTCTCTACATCATTCTAAATCCACAGATGCCTTCCACTACCAGCGTACCCACACAAAAGCTTTCCCACGCACAAAAAGAAGCCAAAGCACCGGTTCCACGACCAGCGTATGGAGATGCATTCAAATCCACTCTCCCACGGGGTCTCACCGAAAGCAGGGGATCACTGAGAATACTGAGATCACTCGACAGACTGAATTCGAGACCCTCATGGACGAACATCTTTCAACGCTTCGAGTTGTTGGCCTTACACTCTTGCATACTCTTGCAACATCTTGGAAACCAATCCGTTTTTGGAAGGCGATCCTTTCGCGGGATCCAACGATCGCGGGATCCTTTCCCCAACGACGCTCCCCAGTCCCGAGACGGTGGTCCCAAGACCACTCTCGTCCACGGCCACTTGGGCACCTCTGACCACGTCCATTTCGGCTCCAGCTGCAGGAGCTCCTGTGCGACCACCACATGGCAGGCCTCCACGGCGCGTCCTGTCGTCGCCTCTGTCGATCCTTATGCCTGGAGGTAAGGGCCTCTAGAGGTATTCTTGTCTAGAGGTAGAGGCCTCTAGATCCTTTTGGTTCCTTATGCCTCTAGTTGCATTGGAACGAAAACATCGGCATGGTTGCCATTGCTATGTGAATTGTTTATATAAGGCTTACAGTATTCGTTTTCAATCACCTCCTAGTGTTTGTCTGGTCTATGGCTATGGACTTCTACTGCCTTTCCCAGGTCCAAAGCAAAGAAGAGATATTCCACAGCCTTGCGTGAATTCCGATATGTCTTGGTTTCCACGGGTCAAAAGTGGTGAAAAGGTCCTTGCCTTGGGAGGCCGGCCTAGTTGGGACGCTTCGGCTCGGATTCGATGCCAGCCTTGGGAAGCTTCAGGTCCACCACCTGGTTGGCATCCGTGATGGCTGTGCTCAGTTGATCGTGAATGATCAGTAGGTCTCGTAACTCAAACGAGTATTCTTCAAAATCTAGGACTCGAAGTGATTCGGCCCTCTTATACACAAAGACTGCGAAACTGTACGGAAAAGGTCGGCAAAAAAAAGACACAAATCAGCAGTAAAGCATACCGGGATACCGCGTAACTACGGGCGAAATGTCTGATCTCCACATCCCAACAAGAGAACTGGAAGTCCTTGCGACTCTGCTGACTTGGATGATGTGGCCTACCACCTCCTGCCAAAAGTCAACCCCAGGTTTCAACCTCCCGAGTGCTTTCTCCAACCTGGACTTGGCTCAACCAAAATAGAAAGACTCCCACTGTCGAGGTTATCCCGGGTGTCTTGAAGACAGACTCTCCAAACCCAAAGAGCCCAAAGGCCTCTGCCAGGTGTTGTTGGATGAGCGATCGGGTCGCTGAGTCCTGGCCAGCTGTTCTTTCCATTCAATTTGAGTTGATTCATCCAACTTCGGAAATGAAATCGTGTGAACTCGAATCTCGTTACGCCAAATCAGGCGACGGCCGCTCATGCACAGCTAGGCAGCAAAATGTGTGACACACCTTCTACACTTGAATGTCATGTTCTTCTGCAAAAATAGACAAAACTCTTTGGACCATGGACAGCCTGAAAACCTATAAACATGAACAATGGCTCACTCTTTCTGGGCCAAAGTCATCGCAAAAAAGAAACCAGTTTCTTTGGAACTCAAAGGCTCTCTGCTGCTTTGCACTGATTCACTCTTTGAAAGATTTGGAGCCAAGACCCACATCAGCCACCTCTGAAGAAGCCAAGCTCTGTGTGTGTTGTTACTTCAAGGATTCAAGGTGCAAATTAGCGGTTCTGGCAGCTCCAGCCGAGTTTGTTTGCCTATAGACACCATGCCCCAAGTTCACCGCAAATTCTCTGGGGGTCCATTGAGCCACATCAACCACCGCGGCCTTTGCCACGATCACTGTGGGCTCACCTCAGTGAGCTGGTTGGAGGAGAGTTTATGACCAAGCTCGCTTCACTCATTGTTCCTTTTCATTGGAAGTTCGTTTGACTGGAAGTTGCTCGTACAGCCAGCATATCACGATTGGCTGTAGGAGCCGGATTGCTCTCTCCTCGTGACCTAGTGATAGCTACAGGCCATGGGCACGGCCGTCATGTGCTTGACTGCCCAACTCGTGCCCGCCATCCCTCAGATTAGCTGTCTGTTCAATGCCTGAATCACGGAGGTCATGATTCACGTGTTCGAACGCTTCGCTAAGCTTTCACGATATGGTGCCGTTTCGTCGTTCAAGGTTTGTCTGTTCTCCAACAAAATCATGTCGACCCTGGATCTGAATCCATTGTGCAAGGGACGCAACGATGTAGGCTAGCCTTGCCGTTTGAAGGCCAAGTTTCTGCCGTGAAAGTTGCTGCCCATGGCAATGATAGATAAGAATATATAAGAATCTTGGTCCCAAGGGTGTGTGCTTCTGAACATCTTACACGTACTATCTTTCCTGATATCTCCCAAGCAGTTGAACTTCAGACCCATCTCCTTCATGTGTTTTACTCTAAAAGGCTTGGCTGATGAACCACAACGCAAAAAGGAATCTCCCCAGCAGTGTCCCCGTTTTAACATCTCGAAGTATTTTCAAACAGGCTTGCGGTGCGGCGATGTGGCTAACGCCGAATGCAGTCTGCACGGATCTGTATGGGCCATGTTCATCAAATTTGCGCGATTGGGTTCGATTGGGTTCCTGGGTTTCGCTGTCAGCTTTGGGACAGTCCGAAGGTTCCGGGTGTCGTTGGATCCACTTCAGTTAAAAGGTTGCTGTCTCCCTGGCGTCGTTGAGCTCTACTGGAAGCGTGGTGCTCCATTCAGCCTCTTGAGTGCCAAGTCATTTGGTGTTCAGTTAATTCGTGGGTGCAAAACTGAGATTTGCTGATTCTCATGCAAGAATCCATCGCACGAGTCCTTCCAGGGTAGGAAAACATAGTTCAATGAGGCCTGAGGGAAAGATCGTCTTGCAATGATATTATTCCGGAAGGACGTGCATGTTGCATCATGTTGCATGGTTCGTTTGCATGATATATATATATACATATATACAGATTATTTAGTGTGGCAACAGATCAGGATTTATGAGGGCAATAAAAGGAGCCGACTGGACAAGCAGGATAGTCTGGAGCTCCTGGCTGTCCATCACAACGCTGCAGAAGCGTCCAGCCGGCCTGGGCAGCACTTGCCAAATAGACTGCAACAGACTGCACCTTTCATGGATTGGTTGTTGGGCTGGTTGGGTTGGCTAGTAGGGCAAGTAAACAACATGAAATCTCACGCTTTCAAACTCATCGCTCACTTGATACTGGCCAGTGCATCTTGTATTCTACAGTAGGAATCGGTATGGGTATCTACTGTAGAGTAGAGAGATGTAGGGCAACCACGCTTGAGGATCACTCATGAATCTCACGGTCAACCTGCCACTTGGGGTGGATATCAGGATCCTCACCATGACAGGGACTAAAAGTATAAAAAGCACAAAGTCGCTCGTTGCTTCCCAAAACCCCCCATGGCTATTCCAATGCCCGCCATGATCTATGCCGATCCGCGGAAGAACCTCCTACCAGGTCCTACCACTGTGGACATTCAACGGAGAAGAGAAAGTGCGTGGAATGCATCAGTACGTTGGTAAGGAATACAGAGTGACACTTGCAGTCCAAAATCTCGAACAGCTGCAATTCTCTCCTTTGTGTCACCTTCTAAACTGGCTGCTCATTCGACCGACCCAACACCTTGAAGGGTTTGAGTAAGTAAGAACACAACCAGATTGAACTCCGCAAAAGACCAAACAAGCAGTCTGAAAGCAATGTCAAATCTATTTCACCAAAAATTCACCTCAGCGGTCCGACGTCCCTGTCTGTGCAAGCTCACTCACATGGATCGATAGGGACAATGCACATGCCAGCCAGAAGCACCTCAAAGCGCATTTGGTCGGTTTACAGAAAAGATGGGACAAAAGAGTAGAGTTTTTGGCTTTCTATCTTGAATAATTAAAAGCTATCTATTGGCTACTGGTTTACAACATTTTACAACCATGTTCGTTGAGGAAAGGCCTTGAACTGTTTTGAACCAGTGAGAGTGATACAGCATGTTGCAGTATGAAGCAACAAGCAACTGGTACTGCTGCGCCTCTTGTTCGAGGACTCTTGGAGGGAAAGAAATGGTCATCAAGTGAGCTTGTCATAACTTGGTGACCAAAATGCCTTTGCCAAAGCACTAGGCCTTCACCCCTCTCTGGAAGTCCGGACGCACCTCAAAGCCAAACGGCTCCTACCAGTCTGCCTCCCAGCTCTGCTCCCAGACTCGCAGATCTAAGGGTCGTACCCCCAGCTCCACCAAGGGCAATAAGGGCCCCTCATCCACGCACACGGCCACACGACCTATAAGGGCCCATAGGGGGATTCTCGCACAAATTGACAGCTGCGCCGGTGCCTGAAATATGAATTGACAAACATGAGAACATGACAGAAAATGGCAGCCGGCAAAATAACATTTATATTGTTGAAAGTCAAAGTACTTGCCGACATCCCTTGAGAGCTGTGACCTGCAGTATGACTCCTCCTCCCCCTCCCCCTCCTGCTCCTCCTGCTCCCTTTCCTCCACTAGCGCTACTGCAACAATATAGTATGAGTATCAATTAGACAGAGACCCCTCAACTCGACTATATATTAGAGTGGATATCTTAGGGGTTACTTTAGAACCTTCACTTCACCCGACTATATAATGTCAAGTTTCCAGATTGGTGTCCAAAGCATCCAGACAAATCTAGCATGCTGGGCCTTCACCCTCGCTGGCAGCTTTCAAATTCCTCGGATTGCTGGGGACTGACACAGCTTCCCACAACTGCCAGGGGATAAACATGTTGGCAGAAGCTCTGTGCACATGAGCAAAGTTCCATGTGGCCTATCTTGACACACTTATGCCATATGTCGTACGCCCTACCAAGAAGCGCCTTATTCAGCCAAAGGCTCCCTGCGCAGGAAATGGCTGTCTCCCACACCTTCCGGGTCCCACCACTGAGTCCCAAATGAACAAAGTGCTTCAGGCTACTTGAAGAGGAGAGCAGGGACCCCAGTCAAGATCTACGAGCAAAGCCTGTTGATGCAAGTGTTGGCTGAGATTGTAACGAAACGCGTAAACAATACGGACGACATCGTTCAAACACCAGACCTCCTTGTAGGTCCAGACTTGCTTCTGCCATCCAACTTCACCTCTGGTCAGCCTTGCAGTCGGCAAAGGCCACCACATCTGACATGCAACGGTACCATGCATGTAGAAAAATCACTGGGTAGTATGCTTTCCACAGGCAGCAGCGTAGTTGCATTGTGCTTCTTTCCAGCTTTCTTCGTCTGTGAGCCAGGCTTCAATAAATTTATGAATAATAAGACTTTAGAAAAGATGAGAAAAAAACTCCAAGTTCCACATGGCACAATGTGCCTGGGTTTTCCAACACCTTTTTCGGCAGAAGTTCAGATCGGGAAGTCAAACAAAACGAGAGATGGCACAACAGCAAAGCGGGGTAGACGGGTATAGACATGTATAGACCGGTAGACCATTTCATCAATCCATGATGGACGTCATCGAAAAAAATCAGGAAAAACATCCCCACCAAACGTCACACTTTTTTGGTTTTCGCGGAAGACTGAGGTGCCCACCACAGCAAAGCCTCGGGAGCGTCGCAGTCGAATGGGGAAACGGCAGTCTGGCCCCCATCAGCGAGTCTTTAAGTCTGGCCCCACAATGTGAATTGAATTAATGCTATAGTGAATTGATGGCTATGGCTTGAAGTATGGTGCTGTGGAGCTTGATTTGTGCCCCAGTCCATTCTCTCACTCAGACACTCTTCCGGTCACCGGTTCCAGTGAATTGGATGTGGCTTCAGTGCATTTCGTGCAACGCTTCAGGATTTCTGTCGGGGCAGCAGAGACTTTTGAGCAACAAAGGTTCGATCTCAACACTCTCATAGTCCCTTGTATGACTAATCTCAAATAAGCCCATGCAATTGGGTTGGGCAATTCCAAAGTCCTCTAGAGACTCTAGAGTATGAGCCAGGAGGCCCTTTTTGGCGGTTGCAAAAAGGTGGGATCCAACTGATCCAACGCCGGTGCGTCTCGCCCGAAACAAAAATCGTCCGAAATCAGAAGCAAAGAACCTTCGAGCCCACGTTGGAGCTGGGGCTACAGGTGTTGCTCCAAATTGAATCCTACCAACCACCCCTGGTGTCAGTCTGACACCTTCCAGAGCTCCGACCGCTTCTGCACCACGGTGGATCGCTTGGTGGTAGATCTGCTGGAGCACGGTGCCCTCAAAACGACCGTCCCCGATCAGACGGGGCCATTGTCTGAGTCCCCTATATCCACTTGAACTATCTTGAGCTAAGGAGTGGTACCATCCTGTTGCCCATCCTGGAAGACCCTCTCCACAAACAAAAAAAAGCTCAGGCCGGTTTGGGAGACGTCGCTTTCCACGTCATACAATTCAAGGGAGGGCAGGAATACTTTGCATTTTCTGAGGATTTGCAATGATTCCAACAACCATCATGGATAAAATTTATAAAGTGACAACATGTGGATCAGATTTCAAGTATTTGAAAAGAAGCGAGACTCCAGGTCCATGCTCACGTTTAACACTGAAAACATATATATATATTATATATAATATACGCAGATGCTCGCCCAAGGTGTTGTTGATGTTCGAGGCCAAGCAGGGACGGTCACCCATCACAAGGCCGGATTCAGATGGGTCATGCCCTCTTGCCTCAAGCGAAGCCATCGGGCATGGGACTCCTCTGCAGAGTGCATTCCCGCAATGTTGGTGGCTCAAGGCCACCACATACAGCTCACACGCTTGAAGGAGGCTTGCAAGCCAGCAGATCAACTGCTAGATCTGTGCAACTTCCACGATGTGAATTTGGGTCTTTCCATCCCTGATGAGTAAAATGTATGATGTCCTTGCCGGGTAAAATGCATGATCTTGAGCCTGATTTGCAGAAAATCCCAGGTTGTTGTCCGAGACGCAGTCTGCCGAAAATGGTCCTTCTCTGCATCTAAACGTCAGACCCCGATGTCATGTGGACTAAAGCCAACAGAAGATATCAAATGCACTGTGCACCAGAAAAGGTTCACGGACAGTGCACGAGTTGACGGAAATATGCGCAGATTTATTGTTCCTATGTCTTTTGTACGAAATGTGTTGTTTTTCTTGCCAGGATGTGCATGACTCCTGTGCACGTTTACGTTTACAGTTGTGTCACTTAGGCCTATCTAGGTGGCGGAGGCACTATCTATCGGAGGTGATAATCACGCTTTCGCAGTGTGAAATGGTGTCTGCAACATTCATAATTAGATTGCCACAGCCCGTTGGTATGGTGTTCACAAAAGCTGATATCCACGCTCAAATATGCATACAATTGGAAAGTCCATGCCATGGATTTGGGGCTCTTCAATCTTGCATTCCGTGGTGAATGCCAGGTGCATCTGACCGCTGGCCTTGCTTCGGAACACACCTCGCTAGTGACTTATTGTTCCACTGAGGCCCTTCACTCTGAATTCTGTACTGACAGCACGAAGGAGTGTGACTCTAAACCAATCCAACTTTACCGAACATCTGCCGCCCTGGATCTCCTTGGCCATCTGATCCACTTGGATCCCGCCACACACCAGTCCTTCGCCATCCCTTTGCACCACACACCACATCACCCGCCTCTCTTCAAACACCGCCCGCAGCGGACGTCACCCGCAGCGACCACCGCTGCACTCGTCTTGAGCACGGCGGAATGGACGCCGCGAGCGGCGGAAGGGCCACCTTTGGGCCCATCAGTCAATGTTGATGGAGGCCTCGGGCGCCGGGGTTGAGGACAAAAGTGGGTGGTCTTCTCACAGATTTGACCTTTTGAAATGGGTGCAAGATGGTGCAAGTACATGCAAGTGTACTGCATCGAACCTCCAAAAGGTCTCAAACACGCATGCTGGTCTAGGTGCTTTCAATGGTCGAATGGTGTTTTTGTGTGTTCATGACGGCCGTCGCAGACGAACGAACATAGATGAGCTGAAGGAATGATTGAATGCATGAAAGGGAGACTGGGCTGTCACCTTCAAGTTGGCACCACTTGGGAAAGCTCGGCTGAAACTGTTTCATTGATTCTTCATTGGACCTACAGCGGGAAACAAGTCCAGGAACCCAAACACAACTTGATTCTCCAGGTTCAGGCAAAAGACTGAAACATCTCTGAAGGAAATCAATACGGTCTTGCGGGATGAGTCACCAGTGAAACCTCCCTCCCTTTATAGATCAAGCAAGAGGCAGCTGCATCGTCGAGATCCAGGTCACCTGAGCGGCTTGTCTGATCGACGTATCTGTCTTCGACACTACCAAACTGGGGTGGGTGCCTCCATGCGGAGAATTGCTCCGCTCTCTCATTGACCAACGTTGACCAAGAAATACAACCCCTCTGACGTCAGGCAACCAACAAAACCACACAAAACAACCCTATCTTCCAAAACCCATGCAGACCAGGCCGCAGGTCACCACTGCGGCGGGCGCAGGGGCCACGGCGGCCACGGCCGCTTTGGCCCTTCTCTTTCGAGCATCTCGGCCTTGCTGCTCAACAGTCGAAGAGGGGATCCACGCAATTGAGCCATAGTGTAAAGTGAAGATCAAGCAAACGTGCATACAACATCTCTGACAACCATGGTATATGTTCATGCCTCAATCACAAAAAACACCTATCTTCACACCCGGGTCGTTCCCAAATGTTCGCCGCGTCCATCAAAATGAGAACCCATTGCATGGGGGCTAACAAGGAAGATCATAACCCTAAGCAAAACGTATAAAAACATCCTGGCTTGGCTGAAAACGCACTGCCGGGTTGGGCTGATTCAAGCATGCTGCAAAGCATAATACTTCCTGGTAAATGAAAGTCGTGCTGTTCTTGAAGAGCAGAAGTATGGATGAGTGCTGATAAACGTCTAGCTGTCTTGTGATATATTCATAGCCTACGCTCCACTAATCTTTGTAAGCCGTGAAGTTAGTTGAAAAACTGTTTCCTCGTAAGTTCTGGAGAGAGTAGCCTAAGAAGGGGGGGACGAAAGCCAGCAGCCGCCAGACGAGTGTCTCTTTTTCTGGCGGGCGTCGCGGCACAAGACACATGGTCGGCAGCTTGCGAGTCGGCCGTGCCGCGGATGCGGGGGGGGCATGTAATGGTGATGGAGGGAGCAGAGAAGCAAGCCGGGCGGCTTTGGGATAAGTTTGGTATGAAAGAAGTAGTGAAAGAGAAATGCGATACGTTGTATGTTGGTGTTGGTCATCATCACAAGGCAATGGCATGTGTTTGTCACACGCAGGAAGGTATGCATCTAGTGGAAGTTGGAAGGCGACATCAGCGTTAGGGAAGGGGAAAAACCGTCTGAGTTCGAGTGGTGGGATTCCACGCGCGCGCGCGCGCGGGCCGCGACCGCGCAGGAAGACCTTCTCCATAGTGAGCGTCGCCGCGCGCGCGCTAGTACGGCATGCGTTTGAAAAGAAGCAATTATGTGTTTGTTACATTTGGAGTGTTTGAAGTTTGCAATGCATACTGCGGCGCGTCGAAAAAAGCGGCGCTCGTTGATTTGGAAGAGTGAGCGGGCACGTCTAAGCCGGGACACGGACGTTTGATCCCGCGGCGCAGAAGGGGAGGTCCAGCGGGAGTAGCTTGGGCTAGCAAAGGAGTGAGGATTTGTGCGCCTATCGATGCACATGCCTGGACTTGAGTGAGTCATGTTCTGGCTCGATCCCAAACACAATCTTTTTCCTTTAAAGGGGCGTTTATTAAACGATCCAAACACCTTCTTTATTCTTCTCTTCCTCATCAACTCTGCGCCTTTCTCACTCAGAGGCCTTGACTGTGGCACCTGCGTGTGTAGATCTTTGGGCCGTGGACCCAGGCTGACTGGATTCGGACAGGGCTGTCAGCAAAAAGGCGACGTCATGAGTCAGTAGTATATAGAATTAATCTATCGAGCAGAGATATCTCTCTATCTCTATCTCTATCTATCCATCTGTCTGTCTGTCTATCTATCTACCTATCTGCACCGGCAAGCCGGAAAAACGTTCGTTCGGTGCGTGTGGGTGCCGTGAGAAGGGTCCACTCGACCGAGGACATGTTGCAAGTATAGTTTTTGCTAGGGGGCAGGAGCCCTTTGCGGATATGTAGTCAACCTCGCAGGCCTCCCCACCGAAACTCAATCCAAATTCAGGCACTTTCGGCTCTCTATGGACTTCGCAAGTTACGGGTTGTCCTGGGAACTCGTATCCTACATGCGGCTGCGGTCTGCTCTGTACGTGGGTCCCTGTCTCCGCTCGACTGCTCAATGCCCATTGTCCAAGTAGCCTCCAAAGCCCTTCATGATGCTAATGATGCACTACTCGGCATCCATTGCATCACTCGCATCACCAGACCACATTTTCTCTGCTTTTCTGACCCTCGCTTTGGAGCGCTCTCCCCCACCAAGCTCTGGGTTCACCCTCTCAAAAGGTCCCTCTCAACGACCAACCCCCCCCACACCCCCTTGACTCACTTCGTTCCCTCTAAAACTTCAAGCCTAGCCTATCGGCCGGCTTTTGTAATTTTGTATACATAGTTCATTACATTAATAGTTATATAATATATATATATAATGTTAATTAATGCAATCCTCTTTCATCGGGAAAAGGCGCAATGCTGAGCGTCACACGTTCCTTGGCCGTTGTTTCCTGGTCCAGGTCAACGATGCTCTCATTGGCCTTGCGGCGCCCCTTGGGGCATCGCTCATGGCCGTAATCGAACCCGGAAGCAAGTGCACCACTTGCCACACATCAGTGGGAGAAAACTCTATGCCACACATTAGTGGGAGAAGATCTATGATGCGTGTTTTTAGCTTGGCCACCAGCAACTTCTACAGCGCACATTTGGTGCCGTGGCTTACTCTTGTAGCCCTTCTCGCCACCCTAGAAGCAACCGGTTGAAAGACCTTTCGATGTCACGACTCAATTAGCTCAAGAACGTGTTCCAACCATCCAAAGGATGGAGTACATCTCAAGGCCACGTCTGGTCAATGATGTTGCGTGGGCGTATGTTTCCACAAGCAAAGAGCAGCAATAGATTCGCACAGCACCCTAACATCAAAGCTGACATCCCAGAGGCCCCTCCGAGAACTGGCTATGTGGTTGTGTGATTCTATGTGTGTTTAGCTGAACCTAAAGTCTCAACTCAGAAGGGGCATGAAGTGTGGATCCTTCACACGCCCACCAATCTCTTCGGAGCCCACCTTTCTCTTTTCGGCCGGCTTGGCCACATCCTGACACATCCGGCTTCATAGACAAAAGCGAAAGAGTTTATCTACGCCGCTGAAAGGCCTGAAATCATTGCAACCAAACTGAAAGTCTAAGCACCACCAATCACTGGAAAGCGTGGCATGAATGGCCGACAACAACGATGAATCAGACCGACCGACAGTCTTTCGACATGTCCAAGCTGCAAGGGTACTTTCCATCAGAGTATCTGCGGCCCGCTCTTTCTCGGGGTCGCCATCCAGTATGTATGGACTCACACATTTGTAGCTTAGCTTCAGGTAGCACACCGACTGTATTCCACGTCAGAATCAGAAGCCGATTGATGAAAGTACGCATCCCGATGTGAGAAGAACTTCCAGGAACCATGTCACTCAGCCACAAAGGCTCGTGCCAGTACTCTTCACTTGTCACATCAGCTACAGTACCACATGTCACACTTCTGGATGTGCGACTCGTAGCAAATAGAAACGGGGGCACTGGTGTTCTCACTTGATGCGTGCACGGTACGGTCAAGGTCGGTGAGTCTTCAACTGGTATGGGAGACACCATGCGAAACCACGGGAAACCGATCGAAAAAAGGCGGGAAGCCAGAGAGTTTTCGTGCGTGTTGACGACCAAGAGTCGAGGCGGCAAAACAAGCAACCCTACAAGCCTTGCCTATCATTTTCCCTTAACCACGACAAAAAATATCTCAACATATCTCAACCCCGTTTTAACCGTTTTAACCTGTGGGGTAGGATTCAGCAGCCAGCAGCTCACTGCCAGCCCACTGCATTCGCCATATTTGGGGCGGGGTGTTTGGCTGGAATGATTTTCCAAGTCTGGGTGTCCAAAATAACCTGGCAAACATACAGGGCAATATCCAAGTCGCTGCTGCTGCTGCTGCTGGGGCTAAAGCTGGCTTAGGGTACGCTGGTGTCATGATGATCATGATGAAGTTCTTGATCTCATGGTCAAGTACAAGTCTCCAAAGGGTCGCGTTTATTAAGTCTATTCTACCAGTACTTCACTCGGTCGCTGTCCACGAAAGGAGTCGCCTCGACCTGGCAGGAAAGATCCACCTCCATGTCGATGTCCTACGTGGTCGATGGTGTCTGTCAAAGGTCCAACCTGGTGCCCTGGCACCTCGGTGCACTTGTTCTCTTCCCACCAAAGGTCAACCGATCAAGCACCCGGCTGGGAGAAACCGGAGAAATCGTCTCCCTCAACCAAGACTTCTTTAAATGCAGCCATTTGAGGCTGGTTGGCTTGTGTCAAGTTCCAAAATCTGAAGAATAAGAGACTGCAAAGCAACGTTCACCAAGCTTCCAGGTGCCATGGCTTCATGTTACCACGCTTCCACAATGGAAGCATAAGTATGGGAAACAACGGGCGGTCTCCTCCGCATGGCCATTTTCCCTAGGAGGCTTCGCTGCCTCACGGACTCAAGCATGTCAATGGGCTGGTTGAGTCATTGAGTGCACTATGAGTACAGTATCACAAAATCGTGCGCTGGCCGAATGCTTCCTGTTGGGCACATAATAATTAAGGCATATGCCGAGTTCCTCCAAGCAACAACCATCTCACATTTTCTTGGCCTGGATCCTTGACACCTGTAAATGCTGAGGATTGCGTCTGTCGGAGAAGGCCTTCCAACCATTTCAAACACGCAATGCATGCGACATCAAGTCTATTTTCCCCTCCACGTGTTGCCCTATGGCTGAAACACTTTCATGGTTGCTGGTTGAGTCTGACAATAGATGTCCGACGATCCCCAGCCAGAGTTCATGGTTCCTCAGATCGCCTCCACTGGCTTATTGGGCTCCCCCTTGTCATGCATGTGTTTCCCTTGGGCATCTGAGGTAGATCAAGTAGATTGGATGACCAAGAATGGGCAAGTTTCAAGAATTTTTGAGCTGCAACAATCATAATGGTGCCTGGTCTGTCCAATTCGTACACAAAAAGTCAACCCAATATTTGCCATCTAAAGGATGTGTTTGTATAGTCGGCGTCTCATTCGCACAAGAGCCCACCCGCGGCAAGTTGCACGATAATCTGCAGGAAGTCCAAGTTTCATTAACATAATTTAACATCAATCACAACGAGCGAGGCTGAAACTAATGCCAAATCAAACCACGACAAAGGCTCCTTGCATCTTCCGGCTTTGAACTTGAACATTTGGATTACCACATGTTCGGAAAGAACATTGGGTCTTTGCCCTCTATCACAACATGGTGAATGGTGGAATCTACTGTCTGAAGCGGACACGAAAGGACATGGAGACCTCATCTTTCGGAGGGGGTGCGAAGTCTTTTGGGACATCTCACTACATTAAATTAATCAAGATATAATATGTGTTTGCGCCTGAAAACAAGACCAACACAACCTGGTGTTTGGTTTATGTGTCCCTTAGCGATTCCCACACGTTGCGACAAAAGAACGACAGCGGCCAGCGGCCTCAGCGGCCTTGGTGGAGACTTGAACCTGGTGGAGACTCAAATCGGTGAAAGCAAACCTCAAAAAAGACAATGAAGCAACATGAAGCAACCATCTTCCAATGCTATCTGGCTCTCAACTCAGGAGAAGTTTGCACAAATTGCCGCTACATGATGCTGGACAAAAGCATGAAAAAGACATAAAAAGACCCGAAGCAGCTTCGAGCATCTTATTTGTCTTTTCACGGATATTCGCAGAGGGTTGCAGAGCATCAGATTCACTTAGGGCAAGGCAAAAAACCTGGTGTCGTACCAATAGATTTCATGACTATGGTCCTCAATTCATGAGCTAATCCTTGATAAAGAAACAGGACTCAGCTTTACCTTCGCTTGCAAATGGGGTCCCTGAATATCGCATTGCGCCCTGAACGAATGTGCGACAGATTACAATGTTACAATGTTCTTTGATAGTATGAGATAGTATGA